GGAACGTGGACAGGACAGCACCATATTGGCTGGAGGTTTCCCAGTTTGGGCGAGTGGTAGCTGACCAATGAAGTGCGAAGACTTCTCCCATCGTCAGGAGGAAGCCTCAAATACCTCGTTCCTACATCCATCTTGCGGGTGTGGGGGGGGGGTGACTCGTAAACTGACCCTCACCGTGTGTATTTGCTGGAGTGGCCTCTATAGGGGCAAGGGTGAATACTCAGAAACCAAGAGATGCCCAAGCAGTTGGCCTTGTGAGACTGATCTTCGTTTGGCTTCTAACCATTGACCTTTCAGGTATGATTGGATCTGCGACTGTTAGGAGCCCTCCTGTATAGGTCGCAGGGTCATGGAAGCACGCAAGCCATCACACCAGTCTCGTCGTGATGGAGAGAATCCAGGAGGCCAGAACGGGATAGTGCAATGACTAAGCCGGTCTTATTGTTCGGATTCGGAAAACAGGGTTGAAATAACGGTACAATGTTGACAAAGCTTTTTACTAGCCACCCAAACGTGCATTTTACATTCTGTACCGAATGGATTCTTCTCATACCGCGTGGCAAATAGAATTTGAAGATAATTTAATTCGTTACGCAACTTTTGAAACATTTTTCGTAAATAAACCCCTGCTATTCACGGAGACATTGTTGATCTTTGTATGACAATTGGCTGTGGATCGCAGTGCATTCGTACGGCTGTAACTGATAGCACTGACCGCTACTCGCGTGTGCTAACTATGAACAGATGTGAGCATGGAGTGGTGAATACGTTCTAGACTGAAGATGAGAGCAATCTTGACTCGATTATAAAAGATCAACTAACCAAACTTTATTTTGCAGTGTATCGTCTGTGCGTTTTAACTAATGAACATCCACTTCAATTACCCGTGGAGAAAGTATTCTTTAATGGAGAGGGGAGACTATTTGGTTATGAAAATTATCCACCGCGCCTGTAGGTTGTTTTGTTTCGCGGAAAGGATTCCGGTTTGTAATTGTAACTGTCACGGAAGAAGACCGGAGCCATTTTTAGCGAAGATCGCTTGTTCAATTCATAGTAACAAGATTGGGCACTATGAATAATCCAGTATGGATTTTGTTTGCCTGACGATTCTATCTAAACCATTCTACATGTATGATATACATAATAAGTAGCATGTGAATGACTGGACAAAATTCCCGTGGAAGCACACCACCGGCTTCGCGGTTCTTGCCGCTCGTCAGGCATGCGTATCCGATAATCTTTTGTCAGTTCATTCATATACCTGTAATCAGGAAGTGTATTTTCGTCACAATAACCTTGTTTGCAACACCGGGTAACCATTGGATATATATATATATATATATGTATAGTTCACACACATTTGACGCTACATTGTGTACCAAACAAATCATGGCACAATGACCTTTATAAAAAGAAAAACGTTCCATGATTTGCATGTGGGCTGAATACTGCCAGATTGCCCAGGTAAAGGAAGGCGAATTTTCCTGTGGAGTACACAACCGGAGCCTTCGGTTAGTCAAAGCCTAACCCGGAAGGCAGCGAGGCGGTGTACGAAAACCGCAACCCGTTGCTGGGCCGATGTCCAGTTCATCGGATCATATGCCCTTTGATCGGCGTCAAACGTCGAGGGTTCCAAGGCAAGTTATTGGACAGAATTTCGTCCGAACGGAGACCAAAACAATTTCCTAAGTACACTGCAAGCTAAACGATGGTCATTTTTTGATCAAGAATAAGTGAAAAGACGTTTATCATGCCATTTTGTGTTGCTGCACTATGTAGTAAAACGCATCGCTTCTCACAGGATACGTCAGCGAAGAACGCAGTTTCTCCTAAGGTAATAGTACATATGATAACAATACACAAAATATCTGAAATTTACTCATTATTTACCACTTCCCGACATCATCTGCGTTGTAAAACTGAATCTCAGTCACTGCGAGGAGCCGGCTGACCGTCATATAACAGGCGCTGTCTACGAGAAGCAATGCGAAAGTCAATTTTAGCACAAACCTGCTGATCAGATAAAAGTGATTACAGAGTTAAAAGCGAGACTGTTATTAAACCACAGTTGAACCAATCGAATAAGACGAGCTAATAAACTGCAAATTATCCCAATCATGCAATGTTTGCGTTGAACTGATGAAATGATATATTCAAGTGAGGAAAGTACGAAGAAACCAAAGAATTCGTAACAAACACTAGGGTTGCAATATTGCGCATACAGCAGTGTCAAAAGCGCGGAAAATGGAAGTTACGCAGTTAAGTGATGTTGGTGCTATTGATACATATAGATAACAATATCTGTGTTCAACAGGATTTTTTTAATATATGTGAGACGGAATCTCCTTTATGGGTCCAGACAAATGAGACAGCACTGTCCACATTTTATTTCACGTCTGACTACTAACATCCTCTAAGTAGGCAAATACTGCAATTTGTTTTCCTCTTGCAGTATTTATTTTAGTGGTGCCCTTGCACTACAATACACACAAGCACCAAAACGGTTGGAATTATTGTATTTTAAATAGTACAGCATGACAGTTGTACATTTTTATCGAACCCTTTGTCTATAAAAGGGAGAAGGTCGTTATTTTTATTGACTCACTGGTTTCTTTTTGGCTTCTTGTCTACGAAGCTGAGCCATTCGACGGCGCTGTTCGGCCACTCGTTCTCGCTCCTGACGCACGATTTCAGACTCATCCACAGAGAGATCCATCAAATTGGTGTACGTAGAAACTTGCTCAGGAATGTTGACAGTTAGACTCGGATTGGGTGTGTAAACATTCAACTGGTTGTGCGTGTTCGAGCAGACGGTGGCCTCTTTTACCAGTCTTTCTGCCTCTTGCCACGCCTTTTTTCCTGGCTCCTTTACATAAATGAAAAAATACACACGAAATAAACATGAAAAATGATTGCGCTCTGTTAAATCATGTTCTATTTGAATCTGTTTTTAGCACAGCTAATTTTTTGTTTACTGTATCTAATTTTGAATCTGTCTTAGTTTTATTTTGGAGGTTGCAAGTATAAACAAAGGCATCAAACCACTGACATCGATGAAATTTCATATCCTATAATTTTCAGAGATAAAGATAACCTGAGTCTTTGAGACCCTATTCTAGAAATCAAGAAACCCAGAAGGGATTCAGATCCCGAAGTCGTTGGTCATGATCTGTTCGGGGAGGTCAAGCTTCGGAGCTATAGAGCAACATCACACAACGCTGAGCTACACACGTGTTTTCGGTGAAAAGGCAATGTCACATCGGCTCCAAAAATTTCACAGATTAGAGAAAGCCAATCTTGTTTTTAGTGCGCGTTAAGATCTCCTCAACCACACCCCCACCAGCTGTTACGCAACTATCGAGATAGTCAAAGCTTTTGACCACTTCCAGGGTAACATCAGGTAATAAAAATGTAGACACTCCCCAGTCCCAAAGTCCGCGACTCGAGTCCCATAGGGAACACTAAAAGGACTCATTGCTGATAACTAACAACACGCGGCAAACCTAACGGGGTCTTATGTGGTTCACCAGCCCAAGTTCTGTGGCTTAGGTTACCGGTTTCCATCACTGAACAGCAGGTCCCCACGGCTACGGGGTCCACCCCGCCTGCTGCTCATCACAGAGATGGCTATGCAGTAGTCTTAGTCGGTAACCATAAATAATTTCGGGGCAAAAAGTTATTTGACGTGTGGGAAATAGACGAACTCTCCAAGAGTGAAACCCAAGACCAAAACCTAATGATTTCCACGTTGATTTTACCACTGAACCCTCCCTTAAGAGCGAACAAGATCATCACATCTTGTGCTAAAACACGAAAGGGAAACGCCATTTGGCCTTGCGACTGAGACAGCTCGTAACCCTCCTGTTGTTTTTTATTATACATCCTGGTGTGATGAACGGGGTAAACCCCATAGCCAGGAGGATCGGCTGTTCAATGAGGAAAGCGGTAACCTAAGCCCCGGTACTTGGCGAACCACATAAGACCCCGATAGGTTAAGTATTGAATCGGATGACAGCAAAGCTGCCTACCACCAAAACGTGAACATTGCAGACAATCCAGGGAAGTGCAACGAAATAATTCGAATAACAGGATCTGTATTCTGATTACACCGTATGTGTTGCTAAGTGCTTTCAGTTGTCAGCGGCAGCCATTGGTACGTGTGGTCGTGGTGGAGGAGAATATTTTAAAAAAGTAGTTGTGCATCTGATTTCATAGGTGAATAAGCTGCAGCTTTTACACCACGATAATTAAACTTGCAGGTGTCGTTGCTGTATACCGATAACAGTAACGCGGGAAAACATACATTACGCTCTGATGAAATGAACCGCTACCGAATGTCTCCTAACTTTTTATCTAAACGTGATATATATATATATATATATATATATATATATATATATATATCACCGGCTTGCGAGCAACCTTGGTGCCAACGCAATAAGAATAACAAGACATGGGGGTTGGGATACAAAGCAGTATAAAAGAGGGTCAGACAGTTAAGTTGAACAACAAGAAGACACCAATAATCTCACAGAAGTCATTGCGAAGAGAGGTGGATGCTGAGAAGTAATCTTAGTTTGTAGTATTTTCTGACTTTCTCTCCCAAGAGCGAACAATCGTGAAGTGAACAAATGAGTTCGGTTCCCTATCATGTTCCTTTTAGTGGACGGTACTGTATACATTCAATGTGAGAAACGATCCAAACAAATAGTTTAAAATTAGAAGTTTAATCAAAACTTACATCCAGATGATACGAAGAAAGCCGTTCAGTTAATCGATGAATCTGATCGGCTAAATGACGAGTTGTGTTTGCCTTCGGTTTGGACAAATCCGTCACTCCATCATCGCTGGTCTCCGTAAGCGTATCGGTAACCATTGATGATAATGAGGACAAAGACTCCCAACTGCGTGACGAAATTCGGGAAGCTCGAGGAACAGGGATCTCAATGCCCGGTGAGTGAACAGATTCAGGCAAGGCCAGAGGATCGGCTGAAGATAGCGCAGTATTGTGAGAAGAGTTGGATGAGTTGTAGTGTGGTGGAGGCCTAGGAAGATGGTCGCTAGTACGGAAGAAATTTGAACTCTGATCAACATCCACACTCAGTGCTAGGGTGTTTTGGATTTTGCCAGGTGAGACTAACCGAGGTTTGACCTCGTTGGATGATTCCAGCCAAAGCGAGGTATTGGCCGATTGGGCCTCGTTGGATGTAATTTGAACAGATGGATCATCAAGGAACCGCGGATTAGAATAGACACGAGGCGAGTATACTTTGGATAGAAAATCCTCGGACTGTGAAACAACATGTAGCGGAGTTACGGTTGTTACATCTGTCTCATCGTAATCTCCATGTCCGGAAGGATGTGCAAGCGAGCTTGAACAGTTGACTGCGGCAGACACTGTGACTGATTCGTTAAATCGCACCTGAATCAAAATTAAAAATAAATAAAAATTAAGGTCACATACCTGCTTTACGGATGTGGAACTAGAGGATTCCGAAGCCAACGGAGATCGCGTAGCAGGTAACCTGTCTCGCGGTGCAAGTACATCACCCAGTAGATGTGAGTGTAATACATTGAAAGAGTGCAATGTATCTCCAGGTTCGCTCAATTCGCTGATCAAACTGAGATCATTGACTGGTTGATTTGCCATTAACGCTTGAGTGGAATCACACACAAGGAATTGTGAAGGAATAATGAAATAAAAATGTTTGTCAATAACATGCATTCCTTATATCTCCGAAATGACATCATATCATTCAGTATGGTTATGCTTCAACGAAATCAGTCGCTCCTTGGCAGATTGTTGCCTATGTTTCAGCGTATCACAGCCGTTTTGATCCGCGTATGTCCCCAGGCCAGACTTTCGAGTCAAAGAATCCGGTTAGAGTTCCAAAAGAAAAACCCCTTAGACGGTGTGGGCTATGTCGTGCCCTAAACTCTTAGGCACCTATTTGGAAAAAACACTCACAAATTTCCCGTTCTTCCTCTTGATCCCGATCAATTCCAGATGCCTCCTACATACACCATACACCATATACCACTCAACGTTTTATCAGTAAGGCTGAACAATCAGAAGTTACAGAATTTTTGAGAAAAAAATCCGTTTCACTTAAGCGTGTTCAACGTCTACACACTACCAAATCGGTCCACAAGTTGCCTTAGCTAGAACCCTTGAAACATTCAAGTTGGTCGTATGTTGTGTCTCCGAAACACGCATACAAGATCCCACTTCGACCATCATCCTGTGTTCTGCCGACCCAACCTCATCCCGACGCTTCATCATTATTATGTCAAGCGACCATCGTTTTTTATTCGATCGTGCGCCAGAATTTACCGTTGAACTCTCTCTCTCTCCGTTTCTATTTAACTTTGCACTAGATCTTATTCTTGAAACAGCCCCGTTCTCGTGCTAGGATAGCGGTATCGATTTCTATCACGACGAGACTGCACCTTGACGCGGTGCGATGGCTTGCGTGCCTCCATGACCCTGTGACCTATACAGGATGACTCCTAACAGCCGCAGATCCAATCATGCCTGAAAGGTCAACGGGTAGAGGCCAGACGAAGCTCAGTCTCACAAGGCCAGCTGCTTGGGCACCTCCTGGCTTCGTTCTTCTATCCACACCCACCACTGGAAAGGTCAATCAAGCAAATAAACACGGCACTTTGTCGATCGAAAACCCCCAGCTAGATGAATGTAGGCGTGGGGTACCTGGGGCTTCGTCTCGACGGTGGGAGAAGTCTTCGCACTTCAT